GTGAAAAGGGGGGATTTGGGCTGAAGAGCAGAGTTCTGGGGTGAAAAGAGGGGATTTTGGGGTGAAAAGGGGGGATTTTGGGGTGAAAAGAGGGGATTTTGGGGCTCACCTCCCCGGCCCCGGCCGCGGCCGCCCCCGCCGCGGGTGAAGTCGGCGCGGCGCGTGGCGAACGAGACCTTGATGGGATTGCCCGAGAACTCCTTCCCTGCAAGGCAGAAACACGGCAATTACTGGGGGAAAAACCACGGGAATTGCGGCGAAAAATGGGAATTTTGAGGGAAAAAACCACCAGAATTGGGGGGAAAATGGGAATCTTGGGGCAAAAACCACTGGAATTCTGGGATCAGGAATTTCAGGAATTTGGGAATTTTGGGATCAGGAATTTGGGAATTTCAGGAATTTGGCACGCTGACCATCAAACCAGTCGATGGCGGCCTTGGCAGAGTCATCGAAGGACACAGGGAAATTTCATCAGAAATTTGGGAATTCTGGGGATTTCAGGATCCGGATTTTTGGGAATTTGGGAATTCAGGGATCAGAATTTTTGGGAATTCCAGGAATTTTGGGATTTGGGACACTGACCATCAAACCAGTCGATGGCGGCCTTGGCCGAGTCGTCGAAGGACACGGGGAAATGTGATTAGGAATTTCAGGATTTTGGGAATTCTGGGATCAGGATTTTTGGGAATTCCAGTAATTTCAGGAATTTTGGGAATTTGGGACACTGACCATCAAACCAGTCGATGGCGGCCTTGGCCGAGGGCGGGTCGTCGAAGGACACGGGGAAATTTGGATTGGGGATTTTGGGAATTTTGGGATCAGGTTCTTCAGGTATTTGGGAATTCTGGGATCAGGATTTTTGGGAATTTCAGGAATTTGGGATCAGGAATTTGGGACACTGACCATCAAACCAGTCGATGGCGGCCTTGGCCGAGGGCGGGTCGTCGAAGGACACGGTGGCCTCGCCCTTGAGGATTTTGGGAATTTTGGGATCAGGATCTTCAGGAATTTGGGAATTCTGGGATCAGGATTTTTGGGAATTCCAGTAATTTCAGGAATTTTGGGAATTTGGGACACTGACCATCAAACCAGTCGATGGCGGCCTTGGCCGAGTCGTCGAAGGACACGGGGAAATGTGATTAGGAATTTCAGGATTTTGGGAATTCTGGGATCACCTTGATGATGCCGATCTGTTTGAAGCAGTCGTGTCCCAGGTGTATTTTAGGTGTGTTTTGGGTGTACTTCGATGTGTTTTAGGTGTATTGTGGGTGTATTGTGGGTGTATTTCGGGTGTATTTCGGGTGTATTTTTGGGTGTATTTCGGGTGTATTTTGGGTGTATTTCAGGTGTATTTTGGGTGTATTTCGGGTGTATTTTGGTGTATTTTAGGTGTATTTCGGGGTGTATTTCGGGTGTATTTTGATGTATTTTAGGTGTATTTCGGGTGTATTTTTGGGTGTATTTCGGGTGTATTTTGGGTGTATTTTTCGGGTGTATTTCAGGTGTATTTTGGGTGTATTTTGGGTATATTTCGGGTGTATTTCGGGTGTATTTAGGTGTATTTTGGGTGTATTTTGGGTATATTTCGGGTGTATTTCGGGTGTATTTCGGGTGTATTTAGGTGTATTTTGGGTGTATTTTGGGTGTATTTCAGGTGTATTTTGGGTGTATTTTGGGTGTATTTCGGGTGTATTTTGGGTGTATTTTGATGTATTTTAGGTGTATTTCGGGTGTATTTTGGGTGTATTTCAGGTGTATTTCGGGTGTATTTCGGGTGTATTTTGGTGTATTTCGGGTGTATTGTGGGTGTATTTCGGGTGTATTTTGATGTATTTCAGGTGTATTTTGGGTGTATTTTGGGTATATTTCGGGTGTATTTCGGGTGTATTTAGGTGTATTTTGGGTGTATTTTGGGTATATTTCGGGTGTATTTCGGGTGTATTTCGGGTGTATTTAGGTGTATTTTGGGTGTATTTCGGTGTCTCTCACCTTGATGATGCCGATCTGTTTGAAGTAGTCGGCCACCGACTCGATGGTGACGTTCTCGCCCAGCCCCTGCACGAAGATCGTGTTGTTGTCCGAGTTGTCCTGCTCACCTGGGGGTAATTAACTAATTAGCGCTAATTAATATTAATTACTGACAGCAAATGCTAATTAACCCTCGTTAACCCCACCTCAGAATATGGAAATGGCCCCTGAGCCCCTCCCCCCATTAAGATCGTGTTCCTGTCCTGCTCACCCGCAGATAATTAACTAATTAGTGCTAATTAGCATTCATTACCATTCATTACTGACAGCAAATGCTAATTAACCCTCGTTAAGAAGGATGAAAATGACCCCCAAGCCCCTCCCCCTCATTAAGATCATGTTGCCATCCAAGCTGTCCTGCTCACACACAATTAACTAATCACTGTTAATTAGCACTGATCGTCATCCATTACTGATAATTAATGCTAATTAACGCTCATTAACCCCTCCCCGGGAGCCCAAAATGGCCCCAGAGCCCCTCCCCCACACCAGGATGGTGCTGTTGTCCTGCTCAGCCAGAGATAATTAATTAATCAGTGCTAATTAGCATTTAGAATGAATAATTCTTACTCCCAAGTTCATATCTTATTAATTCTATTAACACTAATTAATTCAATTCAAATCTCATCTCATTGCCACTAATTAACCCCTAATATATCCCATTAATTACCGCACTAATTAACCCCGGCAGCAACTCTTACCCTCTTAATTCCTGCTAATTATCCCTAATCCTTAATTACATTATTCCCAACTCACCCTTTTATTAAGCCTATCAATTACCGCTAATTAACCCCTTTAATTCAATTAGACATCGTCAATCAAATCCCTTACTTTTAATGTCATTATGACTAATTAACGCCTAAAAAACCTCACTAATTACTACTAATTAACCCAATCACCCTTTATTTCTCCCAATTACCCTCTAATTAGTGCTTAATTACCCTATTACTCATCCCCAAACTTTAATATCCCTATTCATTACCAATTAACCCATTTAATTCCATTAATTACCCCACTAATTAACCGCCATTAATTACTCCAATCAAATCCTTTCTTTCCCACTAATTAACCCCAAGAAACCCCATTAATTACCCAGTTAATTACCTCCAAACTCACCTATTAATTACATTAATTACCCCTCTAATCAAGCCTTAATTAATTAATTAATTACCTCCAAACTCACCTATTAATTACATTAATTACCCCTCTAATCAAGCCTTAATTAATTAATTACCTGGGTCATGCCTTGGCCCCTGGTCCCGGGGTCCTTTTGGGGCCAAACATGGAAAAGAAAAACAAATTATGCAAATTAGAAGGCGGCATTTGGGCGTGGCCAACCCAAGCCCTGCCCCTTTTCCTTGGCCCCGCCCATTTTTACCCCTCCCAGGCCCCATTTTGGGGGCAAAAATCCCCAAATTTGGCACCAAAATTCTCTTTTTTTTCACCTTCCCGGCCTCGGGAGCTCCCGAAATTCCAATTCTGGAATTTTCTCCCCAAAAGGCTCCGACTTTGTCTCTTTTTTTTCATTTTTTATTTTTTCCCTTTTTTTCTCCATTTTTTCCAAGTCTTTTTCTAATTTTTTCTCCATTTTCCCCTTATCTTTTACTCATTTTTCCATCGTTTTTCCTTATTTTTTCCCATATTTTTCTCAGTTTTTTCCCGATTTTTTCTGTATTTTTCTCAATTTTTACTTCTTTTTCCCCTAATTTTTTCTTTATTTTTCTCAATTTTTCCCTGATTTTCTCCTTATTTTTCTCATTTTTTTCCCTGATTTTTTCCTTATTTTTCTTCATTTTTTCCCTGAATTTTTTCCTTATTTTTCTAATTTTTCCCGATTTTTTCCATATTTTTCTCAAATTTTTTCTGATTTTTTCCTTATTTTTCTCCATTTTCCCTCATTTTTTCCTCAGTTTACTCCATTGCTTCCCTGATTTTTACCTTATTTTCCCCTGATTATTTCCTAATCATTCTCAATTTTTTCCCTCATTTTGTCCTTCTTTTTCTCAAATTTTTCCCCTCAATTTTCCCTTTTCCCCCTAATTTTTTCTTTATTTTTCTCAATTTTTTCCCTGAATTTTTTCCTTATTTTTCTAATTTTTCCCCTGATTTTTTCCTTACTTTTCTTCATTTTTTCCCTCATTTTTTTCCTTATTTTTCCCTTGATTTTTTCCATATTTTTCTCAATTTTTTCCCTCATTTTTTTCCTTATTTTTCCCTTGATTTTTTCCATATTTTTCTCAATTTTTTCCCTGATTTTCTCCTTATTTTTCTCAATTTTTTCCCTAATTTTTTCTTTATTTTTCTCATTTTTTTCCCTGATTTTTTCCTTATTTTTCTCCATTTTCCCTCATTTTTTCCTCAGTTTACTCCATTGCTTCCCTGATTTTTACCTTATTTTCCCCTGATTATTTCCTAATCATTCTCAATTTTTTCCCTCATTTTGTCCTTCTTTTTCTCAAATTTTTCCCCTCAATTTTCCCTTTTCCCCCTAATATGTCTCAAATTTTTCCCTGATTTTTTCCTAATCTTTCTCAATTTCCCCCCTGATTTTTCTCATTTTTTCCCTCATTTTTCCTTATTTTCCCCCTGATTTTTCTCCATTTTAACCCTGAATTTTTTCCTTATTTTTTAAATTTTTCCCTGATTTTTTCCATATTTTTCTCAATTTTTTCCGATTTTTCTCCATTTTTCCCGATTTTTTCCTTATTTTTCTCCATTTTCCCCTGATTTTTTCCTTATTTTTCTCCATTTTCCCCTGATTTTTTCCTTATATTTCTCAAATTTTTCCCTGATTTTTTCCATATTTTTCTCAATTTTTTTCCCTGTTTTTTCTCCATTTTTCCACTGATTTTTTCCTGATTTTTCTTATTTTTTTCCCTGAATTTTTCCTCATTTTTGTTCATTTTCCCCGGTTTTTTCCTTCTTTTTCCTGATTTTTTCCTTATTTTACTCCAGTTTTCCCCCTAATTTTTTCTTTATTTTTCTCATTTTTGCCCTGATTTTTTCCTTATTTTTCTCATTTTTCCCTCCTTATTTTCCTCGATTTTTTCCTGATTTTTCTTAATTTTTTTCCCTGAATTTTTCCTAATTTTTCTTCATTTTCCCCATTTTTTTCCTTATTTTTCCTGATTTTTTCCTTATTTTACTCCAGTTTTCCCCCTAATTTTTTCTTTATTTTTCTCATTTTTTCCCTGAATTTTTTCCTTACTTTTCTCAATTTTTCCCCTGATTTTCTCCTTATTTTTCCCCCGAATTTTTCATTATTTTTCTCAATTTTTCCACTTTTTTTCTCAATTTTTCCTCTTTTTTTTCCCCATTTTCCCTTCATTTCCACTCCATTTTTTCCCATTTTTCCACTTTTTCACACCAAAAATCCATTTTTATTTTTTTGGTTTTGGGTCCACTGCAGCTCCGACCTCGCCCCGATTTTGGGGCAATTTTCCACCTTTTTGTTTTTCCAGCCCTGATTTTTTCCTTATTTTTCTCATTTTTCCCTCCTTATTTTCCTCAATTTTTCCTTATTTTTTCCATTTTCCCCTCATTTTTTCCTTCTATTTTTTCCTTATTTTTCTCAATTTTTCCCTGAATTTTTTCCTTACTTTTCTCAATTTTTTCCCTGATTTTCTCCCTATTTTCCCCCTGAATTTTTTGTTATTTTTCTCAATTTTTCCAGTTTTTTTCTCAATTTTTCCTCTTTTTTTTCCCCATTTTCCCTTCATTTCCACTCCATTTTTTCCCATTTTTCCACTTTTTCACACCAAAAATCCATTTTTATTTTTTTGGTTTTGGGTCCACTGCAGCTCCGACCTCGCCCCGATTTTGGGGCAATTTTCCACCTTTTTGTTTTTCCACCTTTTTTTCCACCAAGGTCACCGGCGCTTCCACCAAAAACCTCCTGAAATTTGGGGTTTTTCCCCCAAAACCACCAAACCTTCCGTTTTTTACACATGCAGCGTTTGCACCAAAATTCACTTTTTTTCCCCATTTTCCCCCTCAAAAATGACCATTTTAACCTCATTTTCCCACCATTTTTACCCAAAAATGACCATTTTAACCTCATTTTCCCACCATTTTTACCCAAAAATGACCATTTTAACCTCATTTTCCCACCATTTTTACCCAAAAATGACCATTTTAACCTCATTTCCCCACCATTTTTACCCAAAATTCACCTTTTTTACCTCATTTCCCCACCATTTTTACCCAAAATTCACCTTTTTTACCTCATTTTCCCACCATTTTTACCCAAAAATGACCATTTTTACCCAAAAATCACCTTTTTGACCTCATTTTTCCACCATTTTACCCAAAAATCACCTTTTTTTTTTGCATTTTTACCACCTAAATTCCATTTCCAGGGGGATTTTCCCCCAACCCAGGAAAAATGGGGGAAAAAACTTTTTTTTTTGTCTTTTTTTTTTGGGTTGAAACCTCGAATTTTTGGGACTTACCACCGAATTTATTGAAGCCACCACGCTCACCACCGCTGAGGAGATAAATTAGAAGATAATCAGGAATTTTGGAGCCCTGCCTCAAAGCTGGGAACACGGAAAACTCAACAAAATTCGGGAGAAAAAACTGAATTTTTGGGCTTTTTTTTTGGGAATTTTGGGGCTTTTTTTGGGCAATTTTTGGGAGGTTTTTTGGAATTTTTGGGATTATTTTTCAGGACTTTTTGGGCCTTTTTTTTTGCAATTTTTTGAATTTTTTTTGGAATTTTTGGGGAATTTTTGGGATTTCTGAGAGGATTTTTTGGGCAATTTTTGGGATTATTTTCAGGAATTTTAGGCGTTTTTTTCAGCAATTATCTGACTTTTTTGGGAATTTTTTGGGCAATTTT